GGAAAGGACAGTGCAGGTGCTAGCCTGCCTAGATGGAGGTTGGCCACTCATTCCACTGCCTCCTTCCCCTGGCTTTCTTTGGAGACCCATGAAGGGCTTGAAGTGTTTCAGATGCTCTAAAAAGGGTACCTGGTACCACCCTGCTGCCTATTCTGGTTGCACTGGCCAGTTATTCTTTACACCCAGCATGGAACAGCTGGTTTCCAGGCCTACCAGTTGAAGCATCTGTGGCATTTTTCTATAAAATGCAGCTTGCCTGGTGTGCTACAGGGATTGAGAGTCCTGCTGTGGCCAGCACGGAGCAGCTTGTGTGCTTACTTCCTCAGCAATAAGTTGTGGAAATTGATAGTGCCGGTGGAGATCCTAGCATTGCCACTCATCATGTGGTCTCAAAATCATGACTTGATAGCTGTCACCAAGGTCATCTGATTCCTTTTCTTGAGTAAATGAAAAATAAAGATCCCTTTATGGCCCAAAAGGCAATACTAAACTCTGACTACAGACGAAGAGAGGAAAGGAAGGGGCAGTGTTTGCTTAATAAAACCTGGTCTCCAGCAGGAATTTGATCTTTCTTTAATTCTGCTTTATCTAAGTTACTGCAAATTGTCATGGATTTTTGCCATTCCTCTTTGCTGACGATGGTCCTGCAGCAGTGCAGGGCAGCAGCATCTTTAGCACAAGCAAAAACTGTGCAGTAATCCAGATCTGCTCCCAGGCAATTCCTCAAGAACCTGCAGTAGCCTGGGCATGACAATCTGCCACTCCTTTCTCTCTTAAAATTCATGAAATTTTTGCAGGACCAGATAAACTGTGACCTGTAAGTTCTTGCTTTTTTGATTTCTCACCCAAACAGGTGACTGCCAAGATGGGACCCACTCCTCCTTGGAATTTCTTCTCCTGGAATTGTTCCCAGGTCCTTAATCCCTGTCACTCATCATGTCTGTCAACATGCTCTGAGCTCACCAGAGACTCATGTTCACTTCCCTTATGGCTCATAGCTCTCAAACAGCTGCTCTTTGATGGTTCCTTTTCTGGGCTGAGTTGAGATCATGAAGCTTCTAGGGGGTTTTGCATCTTCTGTGCTGGCATATCTCTCCTTTCTTTCTTTCTTTTCTTTCTTTCTTTCTTTCTTTCTTTCTTTCTTTCTTTCTTTCTTTCTTTCTTTCTTTCTTTCTTTCTTTCTTTCTTTCTTTCTTTCTTTCTTTCTCTCTCTCTCTCTCCCTCTCTCTCTCTCTCTCTCTCTCTCTCTCTCTCTCTCTCTCTCTCTCTTTCTCTTTCTCTCTCTCTCTCTCTCTCTCTCCCTCTCCCCCCCCCATCTGGACTGTTGATTTTGCCAATTTAGACACATTGGATTCTTCTTGGCAGACCTTGATTCTGCAGCCTCTGCATCCATTTTTGAGCTGCTTTTCTACTTGTGAAGCAACTAAATTATTTCTCCACTTCAAATTTTTAGAAAAAGTGATAATAATTTTGGATTAGGTCATTCTTCTCATTAACAGAGAAAATAAACATGCAAGAAGTCAGACTGTTTCCAACTTAAATCTGTTTATACTAAATTCTTTGATCTTTAAACAAAGCTGATAAATTGGAGCAGCAGCAGGGACAAGCAGTATGGTCAATCCAAAACGCTGAAAAGTCATGTCAGCTGCTATCTCTATGCCTCAGGCCAAAACATGAGGTGAACCTGCCTACAAAGCAATTTAAAATTAGTTACATTTTGGACATTCTTATCTGATTTCTGTACTATTGTAATGCATCCAGGTCTTGCTTTTATGTCAGCTGTTTTATTGGGATTTTTTTGGTCGTTTTTTGTTGTTGTTATTGGGGTTTTTTTGTTGTGGTTTTTTTTGTTGTTGTTGCTTATTTTGTTTATTTTGCCTTTTTTAACTGTAAGGACTATTATTTTCAGAGGAAGGTTGGGGTTTTTTTTCAAACAATGCTCTTTACAAGCTGCAGGGGAAAAGAAAAAATCAAAAGACTGCCAGTAAAGTCACAAAATCTGGCAGTAAGAAGCAAAAGTGCTCACGAGCAGTGTGTCTCGTAGTGTGTTGTAGAAACCACAACCCAGGCACTATGGCATTCAGCCCTGCAGCCTGAACACGGCCCTGTGAGCCCTTTGCTCTGTCCTGCTCCCAGTCCTTGGCTGTCTCCTTGAGCCATCAGGAACCTCTGCATGTTGCTGTCCCACTCTGCATTACATGATTACAAGCGTTGTTCTCAAGCCTGACTCTACCAGCAACTCTTCCTGGCAGGGTTAAGGCATACCCTGGTGGGTAATTTCTGTGTAAGGTCTAGAACTCCCCCAAGGCTCATTATTCTTGTGAGAACCAGCCCTTTCCGTGTCAAAACCCCACACTAAACACTTCCTGGAGTGTGGTTTCTCCCGCAGGAGGAGAAACCAGCAGCAGCTGCTTCCTGGGGAACTCCAGCTTCTGTTTTGGGGACCACTTTCCAGAAGTACAGATATGAGCCTGAGCTACAGATAGCATTGCATCTGCTGGGAACGTCCAAATGTTCTGACATCTGAGGGAACCCCTTGGACAAGCTGCAACCTGCACCCACAGAAAGCATTCCCGTAGCAGCACAGATCTTTGGCACAGGCAGTCCCCCACAGGTGACCCTCTGGGGCGATGGGCTCTGCCAGTTTGGAGTTCTCCTGAACAAAGCTGTCTGTGTTTCACCTTCCCAGGCAGACTTTCAGATTAAGTTTGCGCATACCGGGAAAGCAGAGCGTACAATTTGCTCCCCTGTTTGACATAATCATAGGCTGTGCCGGTGCCTGGAACAATTTAATGAATACCTTAGGACAGGTTTTGCTGTCAGATCACAATACTGCCTTTCACAAAGGCTCTTGCCACTGTTACCATCACTGTATCTGACACTGTGGCAATGTGAAAGACCCCCCAGAGGTTTAGGTTGTAGCGCACTGATGTGATAACAGTGTTTGTTCAACCTGCAGCAACCTGTGATGGCTACGCAGAGGCATATCCTCTCTAATGTCCATTCTTTGGCCTCATTTTTAGGATAAAATCCCAGGGAAAGGCATTTCATTAGCTCCAAATCACTGAAGGTATTCTGTGAGCCCCTGTACTCATATTTACAGAGTGCTAAAGCTCTGCTGCTGCTATTGCACTCCTCTAATAAACCACAGGGGTTTCACAAGAAGGTTGAAGCACAGCCTTGAGAAAAAGGAAGAGAATGAGCAAAGGCACATAGAGAGACAGGAAGAATTGTGCTGTCATCAACCCAGACTGCCTCCAACAGTATAATTTTTTCCTCAGCAATCTGAGAACCCAGAAACCCAGAGCAATGTTTTGGGTTCTCAATAAAGCTGCTGGGGAAGCATCTTGAAACTTGCTCTGGTTTTGAAACTTTGCAAAGTGGCACGCCAAGACCTCAGAGATGTGTGGAAAGCAAGAGCTCAGAAAATACATTTGCATGAGATTTGAAGAAGGGTCCACAAGGGGCAGGCGGCAAAACCACACCCCCTGATACTCAGTTGTGACACATGCTAAAAAGACACTGGTCCTTGGGTCTCTATATGGAGAAATCCAGGGTTGACACCCCTTAGGCTGCAGAAGTATTGCAGGGAGTGTTTTGAGGAGCTGTGTTCACAGTTTGACTGGAAATTCCCCTGGATGAGGAAACTCTTGAGCAGAGCCCAGTGCTGCCAGGCCTCCCAGGTGGGCTGCTGCTCTCCACACCTCCACCCTGGGCAGAAGCCCTGTTCTCAGCATCAACAAGCAACATCAGAACCTTAGGAATTGCTGAGACGCCACAGGACCACACTGAGTAGAGGCAGAAACCAAAGCCTGCAGTGGGCAAGCCCTGTTTGCAGCCAGCCTTCACTCCTGCCTTCTCCCTGTGTGTGTGCTGCTCAGACCTTCAGACCCTGGGTGAATCTCCAACCTAACTAGGTTCAGTCACTTGAGCTGGCTTTAGCCAGTCCCATTGCTTCCTTTCAGCTGCTGATGGCTTCTGTAGCCCCCTGCAGCCCCCCAAGTAATAAGGGATTTTTGGCTTTTTTTTTTAATATTTTTGGGTGGAATTTTTTTTTTGTATGAATGAATTTTGGTGTTTGGGGGATTTCATTTAACTGAATCAACACAGCATCACTCTCACACATACTTTGCTGGAGTGTGCCTATTCCTAGCTCTCCATCCAGATGGACCAGGCTGAACCACTCAACACCTTCATTGTCTGACAGCTGAAACAGGACAGGGTCTGAATTGATTTCTGGTTTTAGAGCATGGACTCTGCTACTGCAACACATACTTACAAAGATATCTCTACCGCCTTCATAAAGAAATCTGAAACTTTTTCACCATTGAAGAATTAACTTTTTCTAAGTATTCTGGACCTCACAAAGGTATTCAAGTGGCAGGAATACTAAAATGTCTGTGTTGGAAAGGCTACACCAGCAACAGTAAATTACTGTACACTAAGTGACAGGATTACCCTCCTTTCTTGGTATTTGAAGATGGAAAGGTTTGTGTACAAGGGGAGGACAGTTAAAGCAACCAGTGACTATGAGGCATATGACAGCTGAGAGACCAAACCAAGTGAAAATAACCCAATTTTCTACTGATTTGTTCAATGAGCTATTGCAAGTAATTTTTCCCTTCTGCTATTTACGGGGTTTCCCTCTGCTAAATAATACCATGGTCACTGTGGTGTAACATTAATTTGCTTATATAACCTCTGAGCTGCACATATAGACCCAGATGTTATTTAAGAAACACTACACTTGGGGGAGGTTTTCTAAAACCTGTACATGAAACTTCATGGAACAGTTAATTTTTTCTCTTAACACTAATGGGGTCTCATTCAGAGAAAGGCACAGTGATGTCCTACCATGAAGAGACAGCTGCTCAGTCCTGCTGATGCTCTGCTCTGGTCCTCCTGAACCCCCTGCATTAAGCTTCAGCTTTGCAATGCACCTAATTTCATCTTCCATCACTTCTCTTCATCCCAGGCACCAGAAAAAGAAATGAATAGGCTTGATTTAATGTTTGATTTAATTAAGATAAACCTAAAGAGATTAGGGGCTCAAGAGCATACCAGAAAGTAGAACTCAGTACGTGTTTACCGCATTTAGTCCTTAGAAAACAAAAATCTGCACTTTTTCTGTAGCTTATTTTGTATCTTCAAATGGGTAAAAGATCAAACTTCTATGTGAATTTACAGTAGCAATGTAACTTCTTTGTTGCCCAATGTATCATTTACAAAATACTACCTAAATTCAGAAATAGTATTAAAACAGTGGCCATGAGCTGTCCAGAAATTTAACAGTGTCTCAGACTATGTTAACTTTTCTCTCCAATATAAAGCAAAATAACATTTCATAGCAAGTCATGACTGAAGCTCTCCTCCATGGAGGGTTTGTTGGTTGAAATTATTAACAAAAAACTAAAAGTACTCACAGATGTATTTTAGGCTTAACGGACTGGTAGATTTAAAGCCCTGGGGAACTTCACTAGTTCTGTGCAAGTGGGAAGTGAGGGCAAACATTTATCACAGCCCAGCAGAGGGTATTCTGATTTCAAGTTGTAATTAAAAAAAAAAAAACAAAACCAAAACAACAACAACAAAAACAAACAAAAAAAATACCCCAAACTCCCATTTTGTCCCTCTTAATTAGAGAGGAACAACTATGAACGAAGATATTCTTCTGCTTTTGATGCTCCATGTGCTTGCAAAGCCCAGCAGACACCTTTGAAAAATTGTTCTTTTTTACCATTAAGTTCATTACACTGGAAGTAAAAATTCAAATGGGTAAATGTTGTACCTTTTGTATTTTAGCTTCCACACTTTGTATACTGGGCACCAAAAACAACCTAACTACTTTCCAGAAGGTAAAAGTAATTTCTCAGGCTTTTCACAGTCAGTTTCCTTTCATATGAGTAGCATCAGCAACATCTCAAAATGCTTCTAAAGCATTTCCTTAAGGAGGAAAAGAGGACCAAGTTATAAGACAAGGGTATTTCTACAAGCAGCAATAAGCCAAATATAATAAAATTTTAGTGTATAGAGTACTGTGACATACATGATATAAACCAATCTATTCTTCAGCCTCACAGACTTGGATTTTTGATTGTAGTGAAAATCTAACAGCATTATTACATTCACATGCCACTGCCACAGTAGATATAGAGCTCCTGTAGTATTAACACTCCTGCCAAACTCCCCTACGACCTAATAGGAAACTTCTAAGAAATATTATTTCCTTAATAATTCCCTTTAATGATGCAGAGCCAGCACAAGACTTCCTTGCTGTAGCACTGTGGCAAAGTGCAGTGATCCAAATTAGCCAAAGTATCTTCATAAAATACCTTACATGAAGCGTGAATATGACAGTAACAATTTAGCACTTGCTTGGTTCTGGAAAGACAGCAAAGCCAGAAAACTGCTATTTCCCAAGGGCTATTCTACTGCACTGCAAACTCACACTGAGTCATAACAATCCATACACACACAAACACTTTGGTCTATTTAACTGTTTTGAAGAGTTGGATTTCATTCCTTAATGTGGAAAATAGATCCTCTTTTTCGGTTATTCTGGTTATTCTAGTTTTCTTGGATAGCACTAATGTGTTGTTTAGTGCTTCGTTTCTGCTGCCTTCAGCATCCTGCTGCACTCAAAGCAGAGGAGAAGCAGCATTAATTTATCTTTGAAATTATTATTTGTATACTCTTACCTCAAAAACAAGCTCAACATTGAGCTTGGGGACTTAATGTAAAGTATTTCAGTATGAACACCATGCCCCCTCACCTGCCTGCTCTTCTGCTTTGAGAACTGCACAAAGGCCACTCTTCCCCTCCAAACTACAAGTGGGAGCAGGGAGCCCTCACCAGGAAAAGCTGGCTTATTTCTGCCCTCCCTGAAGCCTGTGTGAGGATTCCAAAGGCCTAGGAAAGAGGGGGGACAGAAACGCCTCTGCTTACTGATACAAACCTCTGGGCAGAAGGTTTCTTCAACATATCTTTGCAATGAAGAGGAATGGCAGGGAGATAAAAAATAAAATGACAATACCCAGAGGGTTGAGTCCCACCTCCAGACACAAACACACCCAGCTCTCTCTGTGAGCTGCAACACTCACTAGAATTAATGTGTGAATCTTCATCCTGCAAAGAAAACCTGAAAAGGTTTCTCAGTGAGCATGGAGCAGGAGAGGTGGACTGGGCTTAACCTCCTGTGGTGCACCTGACCCTCTAGTTCCACTTGATGCTCAGACGCTTTTGCTTCTCAAGCCCAGACAGCAGCTCCTGTGGCTTTCAGGCTATTTTTCTTGACCCTCTCGGTGCTCAAAACCAGACCAACCACAAAAGTAGCACATGTGAGTTACCCTGAATCCTGAACCCCACTTCCAAGGTTTGGGCTTGAATCTTGCAAGACTGCATTTTACAAAGATCTTTCTTCATACATTCACAGATTTTCTACATTTACAGTGTTGTTAAAATTATTACAAAACATTTATTGACAGTAGCAATAAACAAAACAAATTTCTGTAAACAGAAATTGAAGTGGAAAATGGCTTTAAGTCATTTTTGACCAGCCAGCTGTACAAAAACTTAAGCAAAGCAGCAGTCAGGGAGGCTGGGTTTAGAAGAATCCACACGGAGTTCAGGAGATGTCATGCCTTATTAGATCACCAAAATAAGCTGTTATTGTCTTCAGTTTGTTATTGAGAAAATTTTGTTCTATTTCAACTTTCCCTCCTGGCCCTGCTAAGGAAGCCACCTGAAAAACAAAGAACAAAAAGCAAACCAATCAATGCACAGGAAAAGAGGCAAACCCCCAAACCTTCTAATGCACTAACAATCACAAAAAAATCATCTCTGCTCTGTTAATACTGGTGGAAAACGTTCCTTGGCAGCTAATGCCTCTGATCCTCTTTTTATATCTCCTTTTACTCAGACAAGCCGTTTGTGGCTTGTGACTGAAAAACCCTCCTCACCCAAATCACAAAAACAAGAGGATTTCAGAACCAAAGAGAAACACTCAGAACTTGACATGCTGTGCTGAGGCAAGAGATGCTAAACTCTGTTCTGCAGGGTACTTGGCATTAGAGAAACCCAAGTGTAGCAAAAAGCAAGTTGTAAGCTGTGCTTGAAAGATGTCACACCCCAAATTTTGGGTGAAGAGTAAAACAAATTTTAGTAATTCGAATTAAGAAGCATAAAGGTGGCACTGCAAGCCCCAAGCACACAGAGAAACTCACAAAAAAAAGGCTCCAGTTAATTGTTGCTGCTATTACTACCAAAGAAAAAGCTGTTGTATGCACTGGAGTCGCAGGCAGTGCTTAGGCAAGGCTGGGGCAGCAGTGCCCCAGCAGGCTGGGGGAGCCTCTCAAGCAGCACTGGTCCCAGCTTTGTGTTTATGATCTCACTGGAGTGAAAATTTCACCATTCATGCTCTGTTGGACTGAGCACGGTGCACACCTTTAATGCTTAATGATTACAGACAGACAACATTTCACAGCAGACCTCGCACTCTGGACTGGAGCACGCAATATTCTCCCCTCAGGATGCCTCATAGGACATCCCTGAGGGATAACAGCTTACAGGCCATCAATTCCTCATCAGGAGAGACCGCACAGTGAGAAGGATGAACACCAAAACTGAACATTGTCTGCTTTTTCCCCTTCCACTTTGGACCTGTTCTGTGAGGGGATCCATGCTCCACAGCCAGTTCTGGTCTGTGCTGCCATTCTCCCAGGCTGCTGCGGGAAAATTATTTCTGTAATTCCTCATGCAGGGAAACTGCCCAGGCAGACATAAAGTTATCAGGGTCTACAAGCTCACAGGAGATTTTAACTGATCTATAAGCCAAGATGAAGCTAGCAGCTGAAACTTTAAGCTACTAGCACTTCTAAAGACCCTTGAGACTTGATTCTGTCATGCAGGTTTAAACATAAACAAGCTGAACTTCCTCTATTGTGAGTAAAAAATCAGCCTACTATCAAGAAAAAATAACAGATTAATTTAAATTACACTTTGAACCTTTACTGACTTGTCCAGAAAACTGCCACACACTTATCTAAATCAAGCATTTATTTTTCTGTTTTGATTTTCTCTCTTTTAATTTTTTTGTTTTTGCAGACAAAAGTGTGAGCAGTTTCTTCATCCTTCAACTTCTGGTGATAGGAAAAAACGCTCTGCGTTTTTGTAAGAGAGGAACCTGCCACTTAAGTAAAAAAACAAGAGGCTGGCTGACTTATAAATAGCACAAGAATCTGAAATTGGCAAGTGATCAGGAATGTTAATTTTACAACTTGTCTGCTCTTACTTCAAATCCACAAAGCATTGTGGGGTGATGCATAGCTTTTCTAGGAAGATGTGAACTTTAAATTTTTCACAAGGAGAAGCTGGAATGCCCCTTCTGAAAAGCATTCAGAGGCTTTCCACTTTATAGCTGATGTCGCTTAGGTACTCTAAAATATTAACTGGATTAGTCAACTTAATATAAGAATACTTAGAAATTAGTGTCTTGGGGTTATGCACTCCTGCTTTTTGGGCACAGTTTGTATCACTAGCATATCTAAGTATGACTAATGCATTGATATTAAACATTAGTGTTTACTAAACATTCCTCTTAGAAGACCAAGTAAAACAAGATGCCCCATCACTGACGGGTGGTGTCCACCCACAAGGGACAGCTGAAAATTTACATATGCTGTGTCTGGTCTCTAAGTGTCAAATCCAGGATAACTATGATTCATTTCAAACAACGACTAGAGGTATTTGATAAACCCTGAGGTGAAAAAAATGTAAATAAACACATGGGAATAAGCTCTACTGTGACAGATCTGGTACTGTACGCTCTTTAACCCACCCAATATTCAGAGGAGAGAAATGCAAATCCTCTGTGACAATGCTTAGTTGTAAATGGCTGGAGGTTGCAAATTTAATTACAATTTTTACAATAATTACAATAGGACTTGCCAAGTTTTCCTAGGCAGGGCATAGTCAACCCTGAAAAGCGTAGTGGGGGAAGGCTGCCACATGCCAAGCTTCAGGAGTGTGCTGGCCTGGCAGAGGGACACCCTCTAAAAATAACAACAGATTGAGGAACGATGCTTTGAGAAAAACAAACGTGCTCAGCTATTTTTAGAGATACCAACAAACATCTCCTGTTTTTGCAGTGCACTACAACGGTGAATACAGAAAGGATTCTTAATTTCCTTTAAAAACTTGCCCAGTCCAAAATGTATTTATTTTGCACTTTCCTGTGTACAATGATTCCCTGCTGTCAATTCTCCTTACCCTGGTTTATTCTTTAGCCCAAACTCACACTACTTGGGTGGACACATACTGCCTCCTTTGCTGTACTGCTGTCCCTAGGCAGAGGCTGCAGCTTCAGTTAACACCTCCCTGAATCCCTCTCACTTCTCACCTTCATCCTTCAGCTCAGTGGCTACTGCTAAAAAGAGTCCACAGCTACAGCCAGAACACATCAAAAAGGTAGCTGAGAGGTTTGAAAAGGAGACATCAGAAAAGATGTAAATATGAAGGGGGAAGCAAACATAGAAGATTATTTCAGAAGCAAGTTGCTTGAGGTGCAAACTTCCCTTACATTCTTCAGGTGTACTTTTGAAGGTTTTCCTACTGGTTTTGGAGAGCTTTTTACATTTTTTTAATCATACTGAAACTCTTTTAGTAAAGTAACTTCCTATCTGTTCCAGCCACCAACTAACATAACTGTAGACAAAAAATTTATCATATTTTTTTCTTATCTCGTAGAAACTTTTCTGAGGTATGAGAAATACCAGCTTTCTGACTTGATATGCAGTCACACAAGGACACTGTGAATCAATTAATTTTACAGTATACTACTAAAATGAAGAAACCCCTCCCCCTGCATCGAACCCAAAATCTGAGGGGAACAAAACCCAACCCATCTGAGAAAGAAGGCAATGGTATTCTTTACACTGAACATAATAAAATAAAATGCTCTCAGGCAGCAGTTCTGAACATGTACAGGTATGCATAAGAATTATGACATGGCCACAGTGGTGCTGACACCCTTTAACAGGCCAGACATTTATTTATCTTTTTCTTATTTCGCATAGGAAAACTACAATTCAGTATGCACTGACACGAACTCTATGAACTTTAGGAAGACTGAATTTCACAAGTATCACTCTAGCTTGGTATATGCTGTGGGTAACTTCTTTCTCTTTTATCAAGGACAGAGAATTCAGGAGTTTAAAGTGGGCTGTTTAAAAGCTGTTGTTATTAACACAATAGTCACAGCTGAAGTGTGTGCAATTACATTCACTTAGAAATTATCAGCCTGCAAAACACATCAACCCACGGGGTTTTACCTGCCAACTCCCCTAATACCCAAGCATCTTAAAAATACTGTCAAATCAACCTCTGTTCATTTCCTGGTCTCTCACTCCCTGCTTTGCTCATTTGTTCTATTTACTCCTAAATAAAGATGATTCTGCTCGGCAAGTCCTATTTGGCTAGGTCTCCATTTTAAAATCATAGCTAAAAGAGAGAATTCAAATCAATAAATGGGTTTTACCCATCTTTACACTCCCTTCATTGAGCAGTCATTTTTAACAATTGGACCTTCCCAAACAGAAACACACCAAACATTTTTCCATTCAGGCACTAATATTGCAGACAGAACAAGGTCTCAGTGTCTAAATCCCAATTTTCTCAAAATGATTGATGCAGATGAGGTGGGAACAAAGATAAGAAAAAAAGAAAAGTACCAGCATAATGTGTATCTTTTTTAGGACTATCATGGTACAGAATATTTTGCTTAATATTAGCCTCATAGAACCACTCTACACTAGACAAGAAACAAAAAGCCATTCCTGTATTCTGGCAATATTTGAAATATAAGCCAGGTCTGAGACATCAACATTTAGGACAGCAAAAGCTCCAACAACAGCACAGTTTGACAAAATGAGACATAGCTACCACAAACAACAGTATTCCTGTCTTCAAAGAAGTTTTAAACAATCACTAAGGCACAATCCAGTATGTGAGCCACTAACCATGCACAGGCAGGGCAAGTGATAAACATCTCGTTGCTCTGCCTCCCAAACCTGGTAAAGATGCTTGTGTGCTTATCTGCCTCACAACAGACCAAGTCACCAACATTTCAGCTCACCAGTTTATTGGGGGGAGCCATCATGAATCCTAACAACATTCTGACCACCAGACAGAGACCACCAGTAACTGAGTACAACTTCTACAATGGGTTAAAAAAACCAGATTCCACCATCAGCAAGAAAGTCCTACAGCAACAAATTTTAGGTTCTTCCTTCTTTGCTGCAAATATTAACATGCAGAAATATTACCTGGTACAGAAAATAGTCTGTGAAAGAGACTGGACTACCCGGAATGACTCCATTTCCCAGAGGTGAGTACACACTCCTCGCTCTGCCCAATGAAGCAGAGCACAGCTTGATAAACACTTCATAAATTATATTTATGAGCTACATAACAGGCAGTAATAAACATACATATTTTTTTAATGTACGTGCACACGCATAATTATTCGTCCTGATTATTCTTAGCTAGAAAGAATATTGTTAAAGATTAATTCAACCTAAAAAAAGACCAGCATACATTACAAATTTTCCAACATGTTTGTAAATAATGAGATTTGATGCAATTCAGGGAAATGTTTTTACATTTCTTGTAGATGAACCAGATGTCTTGCACTGGTTCGCTGCTCCCTCTCGAGGCAGAAGTACAGAAGTTCACTTCTCTTTGACCTAAACTCCATTGACTTTTTAAAGGGAATTCAAAGAATCCCATTGGTTTCCACAAGACAACATCTTCTCTACACAGAAGTGGCCATGATGCAGAAGTAGTAAGTGCTGTTTTTGCAATAAAACCATGTGGAACAAGGGTGGATACCTTGTCCACCAATAAGGCAATGAACACCAAGACCTCTAACACAGCTAGGTCAAGGTCAGCCACCACCCTGCTTTCACTCCAGCAGCAGGATCTCTATATCTCTATTTTTTGTTTTCTATCTCACAGTCATCTGATAGCTATCTTTCATAAAATTACATATTTTCCACTAAATTTGAACCACTTTAACTAATGGTTAAACAGTATTTTTATTGCAAGGTTGCTTTTAACTGCTTCTAATTGCTTTTGTTTTATTTATTTATTTATTTTATTTTGCTGGAGTTTCACAGCCCTGGAAGTGCAGTGGCAGTTAATTCAGAAACTTCATTTTTGAATACAGCCAGAGATTTTGGTAGCCAAACCCATAACAGTCCAGTGGACCAGAGTATTCACCAAGGTCAGATTTGGAACAGTCGTGTTTGGCACACCTTTGTCCACACAGGATGAAGACACTTCCTTAAACAATGGGTTTGATTAACATTTTCTTTCCCCCTCTCAGATCATCAACCTTTTGTTTTAGTTTTTTTTCTTATACTGACACTATTTCTAAAAAAAGGCATAAGGAGCTGATTTCTCTTCCTGAGAGTAGCCCATAGCTTGGGACACTGAACTGAACTCAGGACCTCAGCCATGAAGTTTTAACGAGTGAGCCATGTTTCTGAGCAACAGTTGTTACTCTGCAGCCATCTCTGTTAAGCCAAACACATGAATGTAATAAACATCATTCAGAGCCAACTGCACCAAGATGTAGAGCTGTCAGGATATCTGGCCCCATTACCTGCAAGAGATCAGCTCCTCTGTAGGAAAAGGTGCAGGCCTGGATGCTTTTGTGGAAGTGCAAGTGAAATGTAGATATTTCTGGCCATTTAGAAATCCAGTAAAAAGTTCTCATGAATAGAGCAGAAAACTTTCTAAGGTCACTCTTCATCATGGGAATGAAATATTTGATAAAATGCAGTTATAAGATGTTGTAATTAGAGAAACTCTACCTAAAATTAAGGTCCCTGTTCAAAGATTCATAAGCCACTTTGACATTTCACCAGCCTAAAACTCAAAAAGGAATTGAATCATCACCTGCCAAAGCAATAGTGCTTTGCATAGCATGGGCTTAGAGTTTTCTAATACTCAGGCCATGTGAATTTCAGCCTATTTCTCAAGCCAGCTGTTTGCCACCAAGAATTCCACAAGCCATCATATGACTTGACACTCTGCCAACTCTAAGTCAGACACAGTTTTTGGAAAAGCAGGAAAATGTCCTGGGAAGTCTTGTGATATCTTGCAGGTAACAACTGCTCCCTTTTTTACAAAAAGCTACAAGACATAATTAACATAGAAAATACACAGAGGAAACTAAACCAGACACTCAGGGGAATTGATAGTCATGTAACTGCTTAAAAAAAAATTTCTACCAAAATTGTCTAATACAAAAAACCCCCACACCAGTGCCACAGATTCTGTGTTTATCATGAATCACTTCAACACAAGCAGCCTATATGGAACCACACACCTGTGTGGACACCAACATTACCACTCTTGGTGGCATGACATTTGTGTCTGATCTACTCATCAGTGGGAACAGTGACTGCAGGCTGTAATTTCCTGCAACTCCTTCATAAACTGAGAGCCATCAAAGTCTGGGACTCACCAACTTATCAGATAGTGAGAGCTGATTAAAATGTATTAGGTTTTGATATTTTTATAATGATGTATGTGCCTGGCAATTGGCTTTAAAACTTCTAAAAGATATCCCATTCTGTTGCTTTAAGAAGAAACAGTGTCAAAACCATGGAAATAATCTTATACTCCCATTTCTAAATACATCAAAAGTACTGCAAACAAAGAAATCACTTAACACAAGGGTCAAATTTAAAAACTCCAAATACCCCACATTCAGCTGAACAGACTTAAAAGTCTTATGTATGTGCTTATAATACTTAAGTTTTAAGTCAGCTGAGCATTTTATTCACTACCAGCACCTCATCCTGTAACACACCTGGTTAATATCAGCATTCCGAGGCAGGAAATACACAATATTGTTGGTGATCTTCTTGGAGAGTCTGAAAATTTCAAATGTAGAAGCCAGTAAAGGAAAAAAAACAGAATGGGGAAGGAAAAGTTTCTTTATAGTCATTCATTCATTTTGAAAGTATGTCTCAATTTCAGCTATTATGCAATTAAATTGTAGTTTGTCTTTTGAGTGTGTGAGAAGCACTCTCTTCTGAAATGCAGAAACTCTATTTAACCATTAGGGCACTAAAAGTAGAAAAAAAACACCCAACATTCACTTTTTATGAAAATTTAACTGAACTACAGAGAAGTATTTGAGAAATCTGAATGCAGTTTGTAGCTACTATATTTGGTTTATATTTGTTTTTCAATCTATTTTGTGGAATCAATCTGGCACACATGCATATAAAGTTTTCTTACTCAGACACATATGGCTACATTTTAGCAAAAAAAGGAAACAAATTAAGATTATTCTGTGACTGAAGAAATTTCACACTGTCATATATGATGAAACTATTATGATAATACCTTCCCAGATGAATGAGTGCTCAGTATCACCGTTAATAAGCTAACAGAAAATTCTATATATTAATTATAAGTTAATGTTTTGCCTACACTCTTCTGTGATTTCCCAAGTCATAGGAAGGTGCTATGACTGGGAACAGATTTAGTATGATATTTTAAATAAGGTACTCCCTTTATGAATCAATTGAAAAGTGGAATTAATGATGAGGTCACAGCTTACACAACTAGTTATTATCACATGGCTATTTGATTACTTTGGGGAACTTTAATAAAATAATTTAAAGGAGTTAAAACTGCTGAATTAATGTTTTAAGTTGAGAGCTACTCAATTCACTGATGGATTTTTCACTTTCAGGAAAACCTCATCACTGCTTTTTTGGTAATAAAAATTAAAAGTATTTAAATTTAGGTGGGGAAGAGGACTAAACAAACAGTTTGCATCTGGAACTCCAGCTGCCGGCCATATCATTCACAGTCAGCAAACTGGGCATGCAAACCCCACGGCAAGAGAGGCAGGAGAGCAAAGGGAGAAGCCCACCACAAGGCGTGACTCGGAAAGGATATCCATCTGGGCAGATCATGGTTTGGATGTCGAAGATCTCAGCCGTGGCGTAGTCGGGCCCCCCCCAGGGCGGGCTGAGGAACACCACGTCGGCGCGCAGGCCGGCCGCCAGCGCCATGAAGTCCCCGCACAGAAAGTCGATGTGCTCGGCCACGCCGTACACCTCCGCGTTGTGCCGCGCCAGCCGCAGCTTCTCGGGATCGATGTCGATGGCGATCACTGCCCACGAGAGACGGCGAACACAGGGATTAATGGAACCGGGAATGCCACCCCAGCACCGGCAGGTCACCGCCAGTGAGACACCTGCTGCTGTCACAACCCCGCACTCCGGCTCGAGGACAGGACACGGCACTGTCTGCCTGAGAGAGGAAGTCCTTCTTGCCCCAGGTTTGTCAGGAGCCTGACAACCTCGGTAATGTCCGTCAGAAATTCACTCTTCTCCTTTGTTAAAGAGAAGAGTGAATTTATCTGTGGCTGACCACACAGTTCTGAAAATTGAGTTTAAAAAGCCCCAACCAACACAGCCCAAGGGAAATGGATGATACAAGAATAGTACATAGTAATAGAAATTAAAATTTAGCCAAGAAAACAAAAAGCCAAGTGACATGTATAGACTGGATCATAGCCTACCAAACAACGCAGTAAAATCTACCCTCTGTCTTGCTCAAACATTAGACAGAGTTAGATGAACTGCTATGAGTATCAAGCAGGAAATGTTTTTACAGGAAGTTCTCTCAACATTTCACAACAATTTCATTAGCTGGCATTAGACTAACATGAAGTTATCATCACTTTCTGTACTTGGTTCTGCAGAACCTTCAGGGGACTCCATTCAAGTGTTTTAAGTACTATGCACGTGGAACCTGTTTTTGAGTACACAGACTTCAATAACAACTGGGAAAAGCAGCAGCTTTGACAGAAGTCCCCTTTTCCCAGTGATCTCAGGAGTATCTGACAGACCAGGTATTATGCCACACAAAAATAGCGTTGACTAGTACAACACAACTCTGACCTAAAACAGAAAAGCAGTTTTATCGGTCCTTTTTGAAAACAGAGAGGTCATACTGTGAGTCTGATGAAGTAAAACAGCTGCTGTTGCTTACAGAAGCACCAAAAACCAAAATAAATCAACAAACAGAGCACATACCCAAATAGTGTCAGGAAAAAGACTGAAGAAACAAAACTAATGCACTGTATACAACACCTACTTACCTCTTTTTGAGGTCAATGCAAACTGAATAGCGTTTCCTCCAACCCCACAGAATGCATCCACTATGATGTCACAGTTGAACGCCTGACTGACGCGGATGGCAATATGCTCAGCTATCTTCTCAGGAGTAACAGAAAACCAACCCTCTGCGGAGGAAGGGGAAGAAATCTGTTTTCACCTCTTATTTCAAGGTCACCTAATTTAAAAACAAACAGCCAAGCCCCACATAAAACTGAAGGTTTAGCATTAATCCCAAGAATTTTGGCTTAGTGCATTCCACCAGGAAATACTGGCTTTGATAATGATAAACTCTGCTCAGTCCAGAGATTTACTAAGCAAACAAAGTCTCACTGAAGTTAACTGATATGCCTTGATCTCAGTACATGCTTTGCTGACCTTGGTGCTAAGGATTCTAGTTTATCAAGCAGAAGTCTACGGGCTATGAAAAACATTATACATCATGATTATGCAAATACAACCAGAAATGTATTCTCTCTTATCCAACATTTTATTTTCTTCACCGCAATGTCTGGTCTGCCAATTAATCTGCAAGTTTACGAGGGGAGAGCATTAGAAATGGAAGGCTTACAAACTCAACCAGCAAAAAATGCCTGGTAATCCTAATTGCTCTTTTACCTATACATTTATGATTTTACCTATACATTATGACTTGAAGTGGTTCACAAGTAAACATGGAAAAAAGTCGCTTTGCAAATGACTGCTGAGAGTCAGAACAAAACAGAATGAAACTAGACCTATCAGCATACTTGGAAGTTTCATGAAATTATTTTATAAAATATAGAAATATAAAAATATTGAGTTTCTGAACAAGTCCTGACAAAGTATAATCTGGATCCAGCAAGATCTTCAGCAACTGTAAGGATTCATGCAGACAGGGATGTCCCACACTAAAAGCACTTCTGAAGTCAAAGACTTCTACTCCCCTGCTTGCTGGGGGGGAAAGGAATTTATCCATGGGTGCAAACACACATTTAGTAGTGTTCCTCAACTAAGAAAATTTGTAATAAACTGCAAGAAGGACCACAGATTTGGATACATCCTTGGATATACCACCAAGGCAGCACACTTAGTACTGAACACACCTCTGTCTAGTTTAATTCCCTCATCAAACCGAGAGAAGAGCCGGTAGCGTTGTGCCCAGTACTTGACAAGCTCTGGATCAGCAGCAATCTCAGGAGGTACAGTTCTCAGTGCATTTTTATTCCTCCTTCTTCTTCTCATCTCCTTCTTCTTTGCAGTAATTTTTTCATCTATAGCTGGAAGACACTGCAAAAGTTAACAGTCACTGTTCTTGTAGGCTAGGGAATGTAATTGGTAGGTGAGTGTTAAGATTCAAAAACACTGCTAAATGTTCTTTATTATGTTTGCCAGATTATGAAGATTAAATGTTTTAAATTAAAAAATAGCATCCTGTATTTCAAGGGATTAGTCCTAAAAATCGTCACTGTTCACCCATTATTTAAGAGCCCTAATCTTCAACTGGAGACAATAAACTCTGTGAAATGAGCAAACAAGTGGATCAGAGACCAATTTAATGCCCTTTTATCAGTTATGAAAAAAACCCAATCTAGATAAGTTTTACAGTAAGAATCTAATGTAACTGAACTACTATAGGAAGGATTAAATTAAAAAAAAAAAACCTGAATAATCCTGCTTTCCTTTGTTTCATGTTAAATAGAAAAATTTATATTACTGTTTTTTTTTTTAAATCCTAGAAAATAATTTGAACAACACACGTTCCCCAGAGCACAGCAATGTGCATTTGAAGCCAAAACTTGATGGTCTGTGCAGCCACCTGAGGTTTAATCACCCTCATCCTTGCAGAGGAAAAAAAGGCATGAATTGCAAACCTGTTAGACCATGTTGAGGATAAACAACAACTGTTCATCTATAAAGAAATACTGTTACCATTACTGGGATTCTGGTATTCCAGAAATAAGCTAATTCCACTAGCACAGCTCTTTCATTACCCCTTAGATCTAATGAGTCTCATTGAATAACAAAATAAGTAAGTAGTGCATGCCACAGTAACTTGAGAAGGCAGTATTAAGTCCATTGCCAATTCATTTCATCAGTTTGCAGGAAACCAATTTACCTTGGCTGATGTCCTCCGTCTCTGGCTGGAGATAATCAGGAATATCCAGAGGGACGAGCTGCCGCTCACTGCCATGCTCGGGTCTCCCTGCCCCCTGTTCATCGGAGCCACTCGCTGCAGCATCCTGTGCCTCCTCCTCAAGCTTCCTCCCTCCAGGTTCTGTGCAGGCTGCACTGCAAGACAGTGGCTCTCGGATTTCAGCATCCAGCGTCGCACTCCGTGGGGCAGCAATGCCCTCCTGACCCTCTGAGTCACTGCTGCTCGCAGACAACACCTCTGCTTCACCCTGAGGGGCGGCTGGCTGGGATGAGTCTTCCTCCTCAGGTTTACTAACCTGCTTCAGGAACATTTCCACCTGCAATTGTCAAATATCACAGATAATCAGATGATGATCTGTTATCCAGACCACAGCTTAAAAGCCTCACAGTTCAAAAGCACTTGCCACTGCAGGCATGCTCTACCACGTGTATTTTGAGAACAGTAAAATATCCAGACTCAAAACATTGAAACAGTCCTTAACCATGCCCCCTTTTAAAAATATGTGGAAACAAGATGTCTTTTGGAACTATCTACCTCCAAAAGAGAAACAAAAACCCAACCAACCAGCCAAAAGATCAATGGAAAATTCAGTAAATAATTCTCATGTAATATCTAAATAGTCACACTTGCCACAGCCCTGGTGACCAAGTTGTGACCTCACACCTATTTTTCTCTAATCTGCATTCAGAGATGTACTCTGCCTCTCAGGGAAGAGGTTTTTAGGATAAACAGTTGAAATTACCTTCACACATTAGTTGCCTCACGTTCAAGATGTACCAAATGGTGCAGGTGGTAAAGGGTTCTGCTGCACAGCAGAAAGCTCGACATAAGCTCCTAACCAACGCACGGACACCACTCCAAACTCCTCAAAGGCACATGCAGATGCTCCTTTTTACATTATTGTTGCTCTGAGTAGCTCTAGACCTGGAGGAGTTCCTTACCTGGAAGTCTGAGGAAATTCGTAACTTTTTTCCCCTTCACATAATTAAAGTTACCCTCAAACTATAATGGCCCCAGGTACAAAATCAAAAATGTATCAGAAATTATAGCAATGTGATTGGAGTTCAATTAAACATGTACAGCCACCACCAGAAAAGTGCTTTGCACTTGGATTTTGAGAAATGCCAAGCATCCCAAAAGAAGGTGAAATAACATTAACATCTGTCCCCTCAGATTTACAGAAAGACTTGATTAAAACCTCCACTGAACAAGTGTTTCTACTTCTTAACAATTTCTGAGTTAAAACACAAAAAAGAAGAGGTGTAAAGTTATAGATGAAAATAAATGCAGGTAGGGTAGAGGTATAAGCAAAACCCTTTCAAATTTACTAAAAAAACGGAGTTACAACAAATACACTAATCTACACAAAGATTTTCTGTTACTGCTGAAATGCCAGCATTAACAACTGGCCTCACATGCAATTTACAATCAAAGATACTTTTAGTAACAACAGAAACCTACACACACCTCTCTTAAGTGATGTGCACACAGATGTTAGGAATGACTTTCACATAACTTGGCCATTTAAGTTCACATTCCTCCTGACACAGCCCACCAATACCTTTCCATAGCCATCCCAATCTAAATACTCTTCTCACTGGTGGGAGGCAAGGAGGAGGGGGAGAAAACAAGAAAAAAAAAGAAAAAGGACAAGTGGGCTGACATTTAAAAATGCCATATACTCTGGACAATTAGGTTTTTTTTTCATTTTCATAATACAACAACATCTAAGGCAGCAGATAAATCTATGAATTACAACAGTGTTAGCAACTAAACATACCTTCTTCAAAGTTTTGCTTTTTTTGCATGTTATTTCAGATTCCTCTGTAAAGAAGATGTGTGTGTTTTTGCTCTTCCTTGGTTTACGCATATCCAAGAATCTGGACTTGAGTTTTGCTTTTTTCTCCAAGTACTGCACACTTCGGTGGGTGAAATCTGGAATTCCACCATACCTGAAAACAGACAGACAAATAGATAAATAGATAAATACATACATACGTAAGGACTTGCTTAATTTTGAGTTTAGAAGCTTTAATATGAATGTTGATGTCTATAAAAAAGTGATATCAACTTAAGCGCTTTTTTATTGCTCCATTTAAAATACGTCACTGGGTGTGACGCTGCAAAGCAATGTACCTTCATGAATATTTTAAAAATTTTTATTTGAAAATTCTTAACCTAATTAGTTTTAGATTTTTTTTTTTCCTAATAGCTGTAAAACTTTAGATGAAAAACAATTTCCCAGGCCAGCCTGAAAAATAGGAAATTAAAAAAATATCTTGATTAGCAGAACAAAAGATCTTTTTGGTGGCTGTGAAGATTCTCCAAAACAGCTACTTTCACCTTCTGGTAAATGCAACTAAAAAAAAATTTCACTGGCCAACACCTGGCAACATTTCATTAGTATGGCAACATTTCACTAGCATTAAGGAACTTCATTCCAATATAAAATAGTTAAAAATCATGATCTCAGCTTACAGGGCTTCAAACTGAGAGGACCATTCCTTTTCACAGCCTTTAAGCTCAAATTTATATAGCTGACCAGCCACTTAACATTTTTACAACTGAAAGTACACTAAGGTGTAACAGGTAAGGTACTTTCAGTTGTATAAATTATTCCCAGAGACTAACTCTGGGAATCAGCTTCCAAAGTTTAACAAAAAGGAAATGGAGATGAATTGTCTATTTCCATAATAACAAGAGAGCTGACTTGCTATGAAAAGCCCCACAGTTCCTCATAAGTGATTACTTTTGTCCTGTGCCACACTTGAAACCCAACACAGAGCAGGTTTCCTCAGGATCTTCCACTGGGTTTTCATCCATGTCCAGCTCATGGCTAGGGAAAAACACAGACAAAGTTACTTACTGTGAAGAAACCAATCATTTTACAGCTACACCACTAAAAATCTTGTGAATTGAAAACATTGAAATATGGGCTTCAAGTAAGCTGGATACACTGCTGAAACCAAACCAAGCAAATAACACCATAACTGAATTTTTGGGTTGGTTTGGTTTCTTTATCCTATTCTATGGAGAAATGCCCTTCTACTGGGGCTATAACATTCCAGCTATTCTGAACGACCTCTTAAAATACTTAATGGCAAGCCCTACATGATGAAGACATTTCCTCACCCTATTTCCAAATTACCTTCATCATCTATCATGGTATCTATATTATTATCTATTATTAATGCTGCAGCAACAGCAAAATACTAGAATGAAGCCAAAGCTACATGATCAGCAGGTAACAATCCCACCCACTCCTTCACATTTGAGTCTGCAAATTTATTAGAGAAAAAGAGCCATCCCACCGTCTTTGAGACTATATATTTTTAGAGAAGAAAGGGAAAAAAACTGTGACAAGGCAGATACTGTCTATTTTATGACTGCCATAGCTCTGAGCATTTTACTGGCAGCATTCAATGCAGTTAAACAACAGAGATTATTTACTGTTGTTCTGGTACTGTCTACACTAATAAGACCTAAATAAGCAAGCTGCCCAATGTAATTTAATAATCTCGTATACTTCAGTGGCACAAGAATGGTATCATCACCTTGTACAGTCATCAAGGCCATGCACTGTTTTCATAAAGCACTGGAATAGGAAATAACCACTGCTTGTTGTGAGGCAAAGCAATACGCAGTGATGAAAGACTATGTGGCTTTGTACTGACACTTTAACTCATACTGTCAATCAAAGCTATAGTTAGTATGAATCAGAAGGCTCCTGGACCTGGACTTCATGAGAAAAAACCTCATGTAAATTTCATGACTTGCCTTCTCTTCACTTTGACATGTCTGTATTCAGGAGGCTCTTCATCCTCATCTTCATCTTGGTCATAAAGCAGCAACTGCTTTTTTTCATTTGAATTCAAGCTACATGACTCCTGCACATCTAAAAAAAGATACATCATATTTTCCTTCTGCATAAATCAATTCCTTATCTTCCTGTCCCCAAAGCACCCCTGCAGCTACAGCTAGTTAGTGTGCCAAAAACACATTTTTACCTGTCTTTGAGGGACAACAGACTAATAAAGTTTGCAGTATTACACTGTAGTGTTAACAATCCTATGCAGGACTAACTTCAAATTATCTCATCTGTCCAAGAAAAAGAAAATGCCTATAAGGTAAAAAATTTGAAACAGCTTCCTCCTTGTGTGTAAAATCTTGTTTCCATCTCATTAGCTATGCAAAGATATTCACACAGATTTTATAAGAGGAGATTTAAACACTCTTCTCTTTTCCTTTTGGAAAGGAGATTTTCTTTTCACTTCTCCAATTCCAGTTCTACTAGGATCAAGATGGGACCACACCTGCTTCTTCCTCTCTTAGAAAGTCACTAGCAGCAGACTAAAGTCTCAACTGCAGTATGAAGACAAAGATAAATAATTAAATATGCACTAACAGTAATCTCTCACCAATTTCTGTAGTACATGTGAAGATTTATGAAGTACATGTTCAGTTAAAATCACTTCTGGCTGAAGAACACATTCAACATACACATGAGGGATGAGAAACCATCCAAAGAAGAAGAGGGCAGAAAAAGGAATCAAGTATGTAATCATTCCACAAAGTACCTAATTAACTTTTTAAAAATGGCATAATACAGACATGCCTTTGTTTCCTGCATACAACCACCTAGAGAATTCTGATAACCAACTTTATCTGATTTTGTATTACCTGACTGGTTAACACTTTTATTTTCACAAGATGCTGTCCTTTTCCTGCTTCCTCCATCACAGGGCTCATCCCGGTTTCTGCTGTCAGATGAGCTCTGTTCTTCAGGATCCTTGGGGTCTACTGTTAGAGCACCACTGCTCTGCTCCACTTCCTCCAAATTCAGATTTAAATTACAGATCCCAGAGATTACTTCACTGTGGGGCTCAGCACTTGAAGGGAGTGTTTCCTCACTTCTGGTGTTGGAGGTAGACAGCTCCAAGCTCAGCACTTCACTGTGCTCAGGTCCTGGGCTAACCAAGCCCATTTCTCCTGAAAAACCAATCTCCTTTGTAACTCCATTAATTTCCACCTTGTCACCCTGTGAGCTCTCCGTAGTCCATCCTTGCCTCGTCCAGTACTGAAACTGTTCCAAATAATACCAGTACAGTTCACTATAATGCTGCTCCCATTCTTCCTTAGTATCTGGACTGTTCCAGGGCTCAGAGGCTGTGATGTCCTCAGATGATGAGACCTCTTGGTGCTTTTCCAACCAACTTTGCCAAAGAAGGCCCTCTCCGTACTCATTCCAGTACTTCTCCCATTTTTCTTTAAGTTCACTGGATAAAGCCTCACTTGCAAGGCTTTCTGAACCTTCACAGTTCCCTTCAATTACAGCCTGAGGTTTGCTGCTCATTTCACATTGCTCTGTAGCTAGGGCTAGCTCACCAGAAACAGACTGGATACAACCACCACAAGCTTCGTCCTGGCATTCCTGCCCCATTTTATCCTCGTGTTTTTGCTGTAACTCTTTTTTCTTCTTCTTTTTCTTTTTCATAATCTTCATGTTATTTTTCTTTCTGTAATTTTCTGTTGCCTAAATGATAATGGAAAAGTTAGAAGTCTACAACATATATACAATCTTGTCCTCTCTCCAATCACATTTCAGTTTCCACTGGAAGTCTCCCTCTCGGTGCAGCCCTGCTGTTAGCTTTATCCCCAAAAAGGCTGTAGAGTTTCTGGGTCTGATTATGGCCCTGCTACATAACCTCAACTGACACTTCTGAAGAAGGTGTAAGGAAGAGCTGTAAGAAAGTCTGTAGAAATACATACAAAAAAGCAGAATGACAGAAGTGGGGCTGCTGAGTGGGAAGTCATTAGTAGCTCAGAAGGGAAGTCATCAACAAGAAACACTAAAAAATCCTAAAGGAAAGTTGGTCAGGAATTGAAAGGTGACAAGGTTGAGCTCAACAGCAAAACAGTATCTTAGTAACACCAAGGATCTGTTTTATGGGGCTGTGATGGCTAACCCTAACTTTTACCTGGTATCTGCCTGATCAGCAAACACTGTTCAGTGTCTTTTTAGGATAGCAAACATAATGCTCAACCTCAGAGAACGTTAAATCCTTGCTATCTTTGGACACTGTACACAAAAAACCCCATTATTTTGTATGCAAAAACTCTATAAATCCTGCAGCTGAATCTCTCTATGTCTTGAAAAGAGTAACCCAAAAGAAGGGACAATATCTTTTCCATCCCGTAATTATCTCCAAGCTGGCCAACAGAAATACAAGGAAACAACAACCTCCTGCCCAAACAGGTGTCCCTTCCATTTGTGCAATGCAATCATTTCATTTGTTACAACAAACTCGGCTACTACAGTTATCCGGTAGAACAGAAGACAGAAACCTGGTCCTGAAAGGAACACTGAGGTAACTTTTTGATTCTATCAATTACAGCTCCACTTGTTTCAGAGGGACTTCCTGTGATGAAAAAACTCACATGGACAAAGGACTCTGAATGTAGGTCCCATCAGCTGCAATCCTTAGGTTTGTTACACTGACAAAAGTGTAAGGTGGACTATAAAGACGTTAAAACTGAAGAACTGGCATTGATCTTTCATTCACATCCCTCATGTTAGTACACACAGTCCAAAGTACAATGCTTAGTGGTAATCAAGTAACAAAATGTTATTTTTCCATTCAACTTATTTGCATATTACTACATAGCAACAATAATTGTATATATACTTCAGGTTTGAAGTTGGATGCCTGTATACTGTATTTACAAGTTATCAATTAAAATCACATACAAGTTTCTACTATTTATTTACAGCTTAATCAAGTTGGAACCATGCAGTGCTTTGCACAAAAGCACTGTGTCATTGTCAGGGAGGCCTGTATTCCATAAAGTGGACACTGTGAATATTGCACTGTCTTTTTCTCATCTGTGAAAACTTCAGGCCCTTTCTAAAGCCCAAATGCTCCCTATGGGAAGCAAAGCACCAAACCCTCACTCCTGCCTTTTGGAACAGCCTGGCTTTATCAGCTCTAAGGGGGCTTTGAAAAACTAGCTGTTTACATTACTATCAAAAGCTAAATGGTTAAAGTAGACAATGTGAAAATACCTGCTTGGACTGGAGTGTACTAATCCAGTACTAGTTGTCCTGATGTGCAGCATCAGCTTTACCACAGCTGTTTTAAATCAGGGTTCTCTAGTCATGAGAGCAGTATAGATATGAAAGCAGAAAGCACAGCACTGACCCTATTTAGTCTAACTGGCAGGGGGATTTTACAACCTGGACAGATCAAGGTGCTGTGTGTTGTTACCAGGATGCAATGCAGGCAGCTTAAAGACAGTTCAGATACATTTCCATGAACTGCCATCTCTGAAATAACTGAGAGAAGGCACATCCCTAGGTCTGGAAATACAACACAAAGAGAACAAATAAAGCAAGTAAAGATTTACCACAAAGTCCCTGTGGGCTGACTGCCCACCAAACTGAAGAGGCAATCCCATGCTCTTCATAAGCTCAGCTTCTGAGTCTAATTCAACTTCTTCCAGGTCCAGGGCATGATTAGTATCCACCTTTAATCTTGCATTGGTACAACTGTTCTCCTCCTCAGACACTTGTTCTTCCCCTGTTAACAAGTTATAGTCATGAATACAGCCTGGTTCTGACACTGCAATGCAACAGCATGGCATACAGAAAACAGCGGAACTGCCTCTTATCCTTTCTTTCTCATTTAAAAATCTTCCCCATAAACAGCTCAATTTCTGCATAACTATCAGAAGGAATCAAAATGTAACTTCAACAGTGAAAGCACTGGACTGGGTCTGTCTGGAATGGAGTTAAAATTCTCCATAGCAGCCTCTACAGCACTGTGTTTGGGATTTGTGGCTGAAACAGTGTGGACAGCACACTGATGTTTTGGCTGCTGCTGAGCAGTACTCACACAGCCTCTTAACTTTCCCTTTGCCCAACTCTGCCCTCCCCAGCAAGCTTACACTTCTATCAAATTGTTAAGCAAAACATATTTATATAAAATTACAAATGGAACTGAACATGGATAGAAATCATGAAATCAAAACTCTTGTCTCAATTGACAATACTGAAACATTCAAGGTTTCTGGTTTGGTTGTTCAGGATACATTTACTGCCAAATTATCACATAACATGAGACCTTTCAATTTTTAACTGATTATTCTCACCACAAATCATTCACACATGTACAAAAAACAGTTTAGAATCTCCTTCTGTAATGCTTCTGTATGTGAATCATAATTTTCCCCATCAGTACTATTGTTTCTTCTCTACTTCTGCCTCAGCATATTAACTAGCAACAGCAAATGTCCTAGGCTGGGGTAGAGACAGCAGGAGACAAACATCTATGATCCACAGACCCTCCATTATGCAATCAATTTTGAATTAAGTCAAAATTATGATTTAAGACCAGGTCAGGGACATGTGCTATAAGCTGTTCCATGCAACAGGCGAATATTATGTGAGGTGGTAAAGTTTATCTGGACAGATATAAGCACTGAACTTGGTTTGACACAGACTTCTATATCAAGAGTACGGTAACCTAAAAGCTATGTAAATTCTAAGTTATTATTCTCTTCTGTCCCCACAGCAAAAGTACTGAAAAACAACACAAAAATAGGAACAACTTCAATAACCACACATAACTCACTTTAAAACTGCACATCACATTGCATAGCACGTTGTATTACCTTACCTGTACTATCATTGTCATCTTTGACATAAAATCCTTTTAGTCCCAGTTTATATAATTTTCGATCTCTGTAAAAGTAAAGACAGACACAGGTGCAGAAAGTCACCACTGAAACATTTTTTTTTTTTACAGTAAAAGCAATCATTCAGTGGAAAAAGCCTCCCCAGGGATGCAATAAAATCCCCACCACTGGACGTTTCAAGATGATACTGGATGGAGTACTTAACCTCCTCTAGGCTTCGCTCCCATGAAAGGCTGGACCAAGTGACCTTTCCTGGTCCCTTCCCACACGGACTGCCCTGTGACTCCAGACACGCGAAACAACTAAAAAGAAACAACATCTGGAAAAGGCTATCATTAAAGCCTGACGGGGAAGCCCATAAAAGAGACGTTCAAAATAACGCTGCAGTACACTCCGGAATTAAATTTGCTGCTCCTCCTCTCGCTGAGAACCGGCTGCTCCCCTGCGGATGCGGAGCGCGAAGAGGGCTGAAGCCCCTTCGGGGCGCGCTGAGCCCCGGCTCAGGGAGGGAGCGGGCTCCGGCAGCGAGACCGGCGTCTGGGGGCTCCTCCCGCCCTTTTCTGTCCCCTGCCGCCAATGATGAACATGACAAACATATCGGGGTTCTTCTGTGCACAGCCCCGCAAAACCCTGCTCCGCTTGCACCCCCTTGCCGCAGCAGCGCGGCCCTTCCCGCCCGTCCCCAGCGCGGCCGCGGGGCTGAGGACATGCGGGGCGCGCCCGGCGCTACTCACTCGACGAAGGCGCGGGAGCAGAGGCAGA